AAAGACGGAGATTGCAGAGGTTAGAGAGTTGTTAAAGACATAGTATCATTCAACAGAGACTGTCTCCTTGATATAGTCAGATGGCTGGAGAAAAATTTGGACGGAGAAGAAAGTGCTCGCTATATGATACGATGTTATTTAACACTACGCCTGGGTACCACCTCTCAAGTTATCAGTGATACCCGCAGTTGGGAAACAGTACTATTCTCCAGCAGATGTTTGCATAAGGCAGTACCATGGTTCCAATGGTCCTGCCATTTAACTTCTGGTCTTAGCCTAGTTTTTCAATTTTCTGTGACTTTTTTAAAGGTATGACGCATGACATCACTGGCTTCCCAGTTGACATTACCTCTTTTGTTTAACAAATTGAGGCTGGGCACGGTGGTTCACACCTGTAGTTCCAGCATCTTGGGAGGCCGAAGTGAATGGATTGCTTGGGTCCAGGAGTTCAAGACCAGCCTGGGTAACATGGTGAGACCCTGTCACAGTAAAGAAAAGAAGAGAAGAGAAGAGAAGAGAGGAGGGGAGGGAAGGGAAGGGAAGGGAAGAAATTGATAAATCATGCTCATTTATTATTATTTTTTAAAGGGGCCAGATCCTTATTTCTTTTGCAATATTTGAAATACAACATAGGCATACATAGATATAGAATAGTGAACAGTAAAACCTCATTTATTCAGAAGAAAAGGCTGAGGAAAACCACTTAGTACAAAGCCCGATTTGCAGATATTGCCAATGATGTAAGTTTGTGTGTGTTTCCCATAATTTCTATAAATAGGATGGATTAAATTAAACCCTACTATTTTCAAAATCAGAACTTAAATTACGAATTAGGAAGACACAGTTTTCTATCCGATTAAAAGTATATTCTCTTGCAGTATTACGGTAACCTGTACTGAAAAAAAACTAGATAAATGATATATTGGACTTTTAAAGAATGTTTAGTAATTTAAACCTGGTTAGTTTTTTATTTTATTTTTTAAATTAATTAATTATTATTGTTATGTTTTTGAGATGGAGTCTCGCTGTGTTACCCAGGTCCCTGATCTAGGATGAATGCAGTGTCTTTGCAGACAGATGGTCAGACTGGGGTGGTCAGGGGGTCACTCTTGCTTTTGTGTTTCAAAGGTCCGTGTTCTGGTTTCAGTTGTGATACCCCAAGATTCATACGTTGAAATCCTAATCCTCAATGTCTCAGAATATGACCTTATATGGAAATAGGGTTGTTGCAGATGTAATTAGTTTAGGTGAGTTCATACTAGTCCAGTATGACTGGTGTCCTTGTAAAAAGGGAAAATTTGGACACAGTCACACATACAGGGAGAATGCTATGTGAAGACTGAAGTTTGGCTGCCACAAGCCACGGGATTCTCAGAAGCGAGGAGAGAGGCCTGTCGCAGGGCCTTTCCCAGTGCCTTCAGGGGGAGCATGGCCCCACCGACACCTTGATTTCAAACTTCTAGCCTCCAGAACTGTGACACTGGAAATATTTCCTGTTCGAACCATCCAACTTGTGGTACTTTGTTACAGCAGTCCTTGTAAACTACCGTAGCCCAGAACTCACCTTTTGGAGTAAATCTGAGTCCCTTCAGTGGACAATCTAGGCTATATATATATGTATGTGTGTATGTGTGTGCAGTGCATATATGTATACATATACACACACATTTACATCAACATTTATATCTATACGTATGGAGTAACTCTTCCCAAACCAATACCACAGGATTTAGTCTAGCTTTTCCCATCCCACATCCGTGTCACTCTTCTCAGACAGGAAGAACAATAATGCTCAATAGATTTGTTTATTTGCTCAATTTTCTGTATTTACCTAATCTCCCAACTTCACTGGGCCATTGCTATTTCTGATTCTCTTCTTGGATGGTCGTCTCATGGGCCCTGACCTCTGCTGGGGCTGCCTTTCCTCAGCCCCTCCCCTCTCCAGGTAGAGTTGAACCATTTGCCCGGGTAAGTGCACATGTGTGGTGGGCTAAATAACAGTCCCCCAATAATTTCTACCTCCTAATCCCCAGAAGTTGTGATTGTGTGACCATACATGGGAAAAAGGACTTTGCAGATGTAAGATAAGGATCTTGAAATGGGGAGATTGCCCTGGGTTGTCTGGGTGGGTCCCAGATCATTGCAAGGGTCTGTATAAGAGGGAAGCAGGAGGATAAGAGGCAGTAGCAGGAGATGTGGTGATGGAGGAAGTGGTTGGAGTGATGTGGGGAAGGGGCCAGAAGCCAAGGCATGCGGGCGGCCTCTATCACTGAAAAGGGAATGAAACTGATTCTTGCCTGGAGCCTCCAGAAGTAACCAGCCCTGTTGACACCTTGACTTTAGCCCCATGAGACTGATTTAGGACTTTTGATCTCCAGAACTGCAAGATCAGTATGTTTGTGTTGTTTTTAGCTACTTAGTATGTGGTTATTCATGACAGCAGCCACAGGAAACCAGTATACCAGGGATGCCAAGACTCCCTCAAGGAGGTGGACTCCATGTTCTTCAATTTCCCTATGAGTCAGGAGGCTTTAGCGACAGAAATCCAGCTCACTGCAGCTTAAGCAAAAGAAGAGAATTTATTGGCGCACATCACTGCAGAGTCCAGGGAGATCTGATTTCTCCGCTCACTGCTGGGGCTCAGATGATGGCTATAGCCGGGAATGTGACTCCATCTCTTGGCTCTGCTGTCTTCCAAATGGGCTTCAGTGTCAGCAGGCTCCCAGATGGCAGCAGGGACGACAGCCCAGACAGCTCCTGTCTTCCATGACACCACCTGGCAGCCCTGGAGGGTGTGCTATGGCTATGTCCTGAGTGCTTAGAAGAGGTCCCGGTGGGGTCTCAGTGGCCCAGCTGGATCCGTGATTGCCCTTGACCCAAGTACGGCTATTTGATGGGGCCTGGGTTACGTGCCCACCCTGCAGCTGTGGTGGGGTGGTGCAATGGGAGCAGCCTCACATCAGCAGGATGGACTGCGGGCCAAAGAAGGGAGGTTCCTTGAAAGAAAGTTGATGTGTTCTTTTCAGTAAAAGAGGAAATGGAGACCAGGTAGCAAAAGCAACAGAAGCCCATGACAGCCACCCCAGGCTCCAAGTTTGGCTTTGTTTTGTTTTGAGTGATGGTCTCACTCTGTCAGCTAGCCTTGAGTGTAGTGGTATGATCATGGCTCACTGCAGCCTCCACCTCCTGGGCTCAGGTGATCCTCCCACCTCAGCCTCCTGAGTGAGGAATTTTTTTTTTTTTTTGTAGAAACAGGGTTTCACCACATTGCCCAGGTTGGTCTCAAACTCCTGGGCTCAAGCAGTCCTCCCGCCTTGGCCTCCCAAAGTGCTGGGGTTACAGGTGTGAGCCATGGCATCTGGCCCTCTGAATTTTTTGATCCTAGAATTTAGACTTTGTTCTTGATAAATGTTGGTTGACTGTTTTGAAATGCCACAGACACCTCCATACCGAATTCTAATTTTGTTCTATTTAATTATCTTTATTAAATACATTTTAAATTACAAACATGATAATATAGGCTGGGTTTGGTGGCACTCACCTGTAGTCCTAGCTACTTGGGAGGCTGAGGCAGGAGGATCTCTTGAGCCAGGGAGTTCAAGGCTGCAGTGAGCTATGATTGCATCACTGCACTCCAGCCTGGGCAATGGAAAAAGACCTTGTCTCTTTAAAAAAAAAAAAAAAAAAGATGATAATATATTATACCTCGGGTTAACTACTGAATGCATACAAAAAATGTATATAAAGAAATGCTTGACCCAAGTCAGAGGCCTGGAGTTTATTCTTCCAAATTGTTCTCTCTACTCAGACACACAAGTATTGCCTTTCTTTGGTTAATATTGTGAGATTTTATAAACCCAGCAATAAAAAACTTTCTTTTCTCATGTCATGGGATCTCTTCAGAAGCCTGGGTTCAACTCTGTCTCATTTTAAAAGAATTAATTTTTGGATGTTTCTGTAGGACTTACAATTCAAACAGCACAAAAGAGTTTAAATAAAATGTTTCCCCGACTCTTTTTCC